TGGTGGAACATGCATGGGCAGCCTGTATATGGCGGTTGTAATGGTAAAAGTAAAAACGGCGCTGCACCAATGTTATGGTTTAAGTAAAATGCTGCAGGTTCCAGGCAGCAGGCATTGGATCCCGAGACCACGGAGGACCACAAAGGGCAGCGGGTCCTAGGCAGGGAGCCCTATGGCGGGTAAGAGACTGAGATGGATAGGCACGCCGTGCAGAGTGAGGTTGGATATTTATTTAGTGGGTTATGGAAGAGAAAGAAAAAGGAGGGAAGGGGAGAGGGGAGAAGAACAGAGAGGGAGGCACAGAGAGACGGGGAGGAGAGAGGAGAGGAGCCTTGGCAGCAGCTACCTCTTTGGGAGAGAGACAGAAAGGAAGAGGCTCAGGCTGGAAGCTGAAGATCAGCTTGCTTTGGTGGACTGGGGAGGGAGTGGGCGTGGCTTGTCACTTGAAGGACAGGACAGACCATTACAGCAATCCTGTTGAACTTGTCCATTTTGGGTTTCATGGTCTTAAGTTGATGAGGACAACTGACCATATCTCTTCCTCAACCAGTGAGTAACCCTTTTTCAAATAAATGGTATAAGGAACCTGAAGAATGTTATCAAAGACTGACCACTAGTTTGCACATGCACATATTTGTGTACATGTGGATAAATAATTCTTTTCCTGTGAAGCTATACGAGAGGTTTGAGGTACCTCAGAATGGCAGAGTGAGTCTTGTTAAGCTGAGTCCTGGCCTGATGTAAAACCATTTTCATAGCCCTTGAAGGAAAGAGAACCAGACACAAGGGTGGTCCTGGGAGGGGACAGAACTGGAGTGATAGAAGAAAGTGCTAGAACTCAGCCTTCTCATAGTCACAGGAGAACAGGGAACTCCAAATGTGTTTCCTTCAGAGAATTGGTTTTGCAACCTCTCTATCTGGGTTAAAGTTATAACATTGCTCAATTCCAAAGTCTGTTTTTGTTCTGCCAACTACCCATAAGCATGTCTGTATCCTTTCCCCAAGGTTCCTAAATTATCTACCTGGTTGGATTTTGTTAGGCCATTAGGACCATGCCAGTTAGGGAACCTTGTGAATGGTCCCTTTTCTTTGGCCCATTGAGCTTCTGAGCTCAGGAAAGATGGTCCACAGGAAGATAGGAGTCTTCAGATCTGGTGATCTGGCTGTCCCTTTAGGGCTTTTGTTGTTTTGGGACTGGGTCCCTTGTTGCTGAGGCTAGCCTTGAATCCCTGCCTTTACCTCTCAGGACTGGAATTAGAGGTATGTGTTACCATGCCTGACTGGGCTGAGATTTTCATATGATATGGCAGAGGCTGTGGTAGCTAAGACTGCACCCACAAGTCTGACTTTGAGACCCAGCCCTGCTTTTTCTGCTGACTGCTGCAGCCAACAAGCAGGCCTTCTCCACTCTCCTGCAGGCTTCAGAAAGAACCTATTCATAACAGGTCCCTCCCTAGAGGGAAGGGCAGAAGCTGAGGAAAGTTCTGGGCTTGCTGCCTTTGTCCAGGGTGTGGGTAACCAGGGTCTTGCCCATTCAAGAGGTTAAGCCCTTGAGACCTAGACCAAGGGGAGGAGTCCTTCTGAAAGAGCTGAGTGTGGTCCCAGCACTTTGAAAGGTTGAGGCTGGAGGACTATAGTGTGTTTGAGGACAGTCTCGCCTGCACAGTGGGTACTGAGCCAACTAGGGTTACATAGAGAGACCCTGCCTCAACAAGTCTCCCAGGTCCCCTCTCCACCAGAGGAGGAGGAAACTTTACTAGAAGAAAGAAACCTGGCAGGAATGTGGACAGTGACTGCTATGTACCCCGAAGGCATTTTCCAACTTTGTAGCAAAAGCTCTTGAGTGTCAACTTCCTGTCTCAGCCCCAGGTGTTCATTTATTAGGGATTTCTAACAGGGTCTTACTGTGAAACCCAGGATACCCTTGAATTCATGATCTTCCTGCTTCTGCCTCATAGCACCTAGGAATATTAACATGTACTGCCATGCCTGACACCAGGCAAGGGCCACATTTAGAGGGTTGCTTTCTTGCCCACGGCCCAAGTTAGTACACAGAAAGTACTAAGCAGCCTGTAGCAGAGGCTCTGATCTTGAAGCTTAAGTTCCTTCGCCCCCAGGCTTCCCTGAAGGTCCTGGCCTATAGTATACCTTTTAAATGCTCTGGGGCTGGGAGTAAGCCCTGAAGTCAGTATCCAAGTGTTTCTTTTGAGTTTCTGAGTATTTACTGGCAGATTGAGCAGGGTCAAAAATGAGAGAGGAAGTGAAACCCAACTGGCACATGGAAATCCCATACTGATTCTCCGAGTGGTGGGCCAGTTGCTTGGAGAGCTTGCAGTGAAGTAATAACTCTTGTTATTCTCAGGGCCTCAGACCCAGGCCTATTGAGATGTGCTGGCTGACATGATTATTGAAACAAGGTTCAAAAACCTCAGAGCAGGGGCTAAGGGCTTAGCCTAGTGGCAAAACGCATGGTTAGCATACATGAGTTAATCCCTGGACTTAATTACTACAATTATTCCCTCCCATCCCTCAAAAACAGATGAGAGTAGTAAGCTGCTAATGAACTTTCTGGACTTACTTGGCCCATTTGTACAGTGACATGGTCCTGTTATATTTCTCAGGCTAACCTGTATTTGGAACTCCTATGCCTAGGCCTCCCAAGTAGCTGGGATTTGTTGCTGCCCCTGCTGTGGCCTAGTTCAACCATGCTGTGCTTGTACAGGCCAGCTATAATTTTGCTTATTTACCCATTAATTTAGAAGGCTACTTGGGACATAGTATATGCTTTTTAAATATTTGTGGGGACGACTAAATATTAAAGCTGCTCCCTGGAAGAGTGCTCCTGTAGGACTGGTGTGATCGTGCCAGTGGACAGCGCTCTGATGAAGCGGCCTTGGCCCGCGGGCTTTCAACCAGGACGTCTGACATTCAGGGCTGGCCATATTTCTTTTTTTTAAAGACATAATTTGTTAAAGAAATGCAAAACATATAATTGTAGGATGCTATTTATTTATTTATGATACTGGGGGCTGAACCCACAGTTTTTGTGTATGTTTCTTTATAAGTATCTTCACCTGTGTTTATGAGTCAGGTACATTTGCTACAGCATGCATGTGGAGGTCTGATGATTAACTTCAGAGTCAGGTTTCTCCCTTCTCCTTCCACCTTATGGGTCCCAGGGGTAGAATTCAGGTCATCCAGTATCATGGCAAGCACCTGCATCCTCTGACTACCTTGTCCACCCATTATGCATTATAAAATACTTCAATTTCATTTGTTATTGTTTGTGTGCCTGTGTGTGAGAACACAGGCCAGATGTGTGACGGTCAGGGCATAAATTTGTGGAGTCCGTTCTCTCCTATTCATGTGGGCTCCTGGTGTGAGCTCAGGCCAGGCTATTACATGGCAGGTGCAGTTACCCACTAAGCCATCTCAGCTCAGTCTTCATCCATGTTTTTCTGTTTATGTCTGAAATTGGAATATATACCTCTTATATAGTGTCATTCCTGAATTCCCTACTTTTATGTCCCTTAAATGTTATTAAGAATCCATTTTTAATGGCTTCACAGTGGTGCATCTCACCACTCCTTCACTGTGGACAAGCAGTTTCTTTTGAGCTTTCTCAAGATTACGGGATGCGAATTTTGCTGCATATATATATATTTAAATGTGTTTCCAGGATACAGTCCCAGGGGTGGAATGACTGGATTAATGGGTATAAAGCTCTTTTAAACCTCTAGAGATATAGCGCCAAAATATTTCCTCGAAAAGTTTTTGCCAATTGACACTAAAGATCAGAATCTTTCTGTGGGCTTTGTTAAAACAAACAGGGGCACGCCTTTAGTTCCAGTACTTGGGGAATGCAGAAGTTCAAGTGAGTTCAAGGCCAGCCTGGCTTAAAGAGAAACCTTGTCTCGAAAAACCAAACAAACAAACAAAAATAGCCTCTGCAAAGAAGGGAAATAGCTCCTAGGTTGGAAGGCATCTTTGTCCTGGCAACAGTGTGACCCTGTAGTGGGAGGGGAGCGGCTTTTAGTGGGCAGGTGGTTACAAAAAAATGAAGCTAGGATTAATGGCTTGGGGGGGAGAATTCCTGCTCGGGCAAAGAGAACATCTGTCATCAAGACCCAGCACTTAACTGGGCGCTGTGAATTTCGCCCGTTGTGCCATTACTAGGCAATAGAGGCAGGAGGAGGACCAGAAGTTCAAGGCCCTCAAGCTTACACAATCCGTTCCAGGCCAGCCTGGGCTATGTGAGACCCTGTCTCAAAAAAACAAAAATCGCTGATCACAAAAACAAGAATACAACACCTAGTGGTCCTTCAATAAAAAAGAAAGAAAGTCACTCCAGGCACTCGCAGGTCGGCAAAGGAGGCAACGAGCATGGGAAGCAGTTGGAGGCGGCCTGGCCCTTTAAACCCGAGTCGGTTTCCCCTGACGTCACGGGCGGGCGCAGCCCCGCTGTTTACCGCGGCGCGGCGCCTGGTGGACCAGAGTTCTGCGCCGCGTCCGCCGCCCTTAAAGGGCCCGCGTCCGGGAAGCCTCGGGCCAGGGCCACCG